CATGGGGTTTTCAAGGAGTGGCTGGTGAAATTTGAACTGCCAACCTTTGGGTTAGCAGCTGAGTTCTTAACCACTGTGCCACCAGGGCTCTAGAGATTTTTAGTACTACTTAGAGAAAACTTTGATATAAATTGGTCCATTTAAAAAGTACACTAAAAGAAAGATAGGTTGTTTATTTTAATTGGTATAACAAAGCTTTAAAAAGAAATGTTTATATCTTAGAAGCAAATCTTTCTAAGTAACTTAAGTTAGATATTATATGAAATGTGTTTTATTTAAGGAAAAGGGATAATTTTGTCTTAAAGTAAAATTAGCAGTTCCAGAGTAGGAAAAGAGAGGCAAAGGGCAAGCCGAGAGAGAGAGAGAGACAGAGAGAGACAGAGAGACAGAGACAGAGACAGAGAGAGACAGAGAGACAGAGAGAGAGTCAGAGAGAGAGAGGGAGAGCGAGAGAGAGAGAGAGGGCTAGCCAAGAAAAGGGAAAAAAATTAATTATCTTTTACCCTTCAAAATGCCTAGGTCAATTTAAACATATATAAATGAAGTAAAATGATCTAATCTTATCTTTTACCATGAGTAAAAAAAAATAAGGAGGGCAGGGAAGGATCAGTCCTCCTGAGCCCCTAGTCTCTCAGGTCGTATAGCTCCAGGGAAGCTTTTAAAAGACTCCTTCCAACAGGTGGAACTTTTTTTAAGACAAAAGAAAATAAGAAAAAGTTGCTACTTTATTACAGTAACCAAAAATTGGGTGGATCCCAATCATAAAAGAACTATAAACAAGTTCTATATATTGTAGGGGAATGCTAAGAAGCCAGGGAAAAAAAAAAAAAAGGAATTACAATGAGACACACCTGAAATGGCCTAGAAAAATGTTTCCAACCCTAGCCAGAGACTTAAGGTTATATTCATATCAATGAATTAGTCAGTTGAGCAGAAACTTTGCCATTTCCAAAGCCAGCTGATGAAATCTTTAATGGCTAAAATTAGATTGGGAAAAATATGAGAAATAGTAAAAGTTGAATAAGATATTAGAATATTTAAACCAACTTTATTTCAACCGTTATGTTTTGATATACCAGCTTAAAATAATTTCTAAGACATTTTAGGTAACTTACTGATATTAATTTGAGATTTGAGTCAATAGATATTCATCATAATTTAATTTTATATACTTTTGCTCTTTATGCCACAGAAGAAAGTCTACATATATATATGTCTGCTAATGACTGTGTTCATTTTTGCCATTTTAAAGGGATGCACTATAAGAGATGTGCAACAAAGACAACGTTTAAGAGGTTTATTAAAAAGACATTTAACTGATAATGGTCAGTAGTTTTATCTGTCTGACCAAAGTTTAAGTGGATTAATTTATGAGATTTTTAAGAGCTTTAATGTTAAATAGCATATAAAACAAAGAATTGGGTTTCTTGCTGTTAAAATAACAAAATTTTCTTTGATTTATGAG